AAAAAAGGCAGCGTTATCTTGCTTTTCTGATTTTGCATATTTATAGGTTTGTTTTGGGTTGTGATTGGGGCAAACTTAAATTTGATTTCTTTGATGTGAAAATTGGCTGCCAATTTAGGTTTTATAATTCGATGAGGTGTTGTTACAATGTTTAGTTTAGTTCAGTAGTATTTATATTTTTATCATATTTAAATTATTTTAATAAATATTTATAATATTAAATATTTCTATTTTTTAAATAATTATAAGTTCAACGTAAATTAGAATGATAAAGTAAGTTGATGTCCTTATGAGTAATTTTACATGTTAACAGCTAATTAAAAAGGCTAATTTTTTACCAAACACTTTTTTACAAACCTCTAACACAATTAGTTGGTCAAAAAAACTAATGCAATCCGCTAGTCAAAACAGCTAATACAATCAGCTAACAGCTAACCGCTGACAGCTGAATACCAAACAAGGCCATTATAAAAATATGTTGATATGTTGAGATAGATATTTACTTTACTAGCGATTAGGTCTGCGTAACAATAAGTTGAATTCATTAAAATAAATAATACTATCTTTTTCTTGGAATGAAATATTGAAATTAATTTGGGAAGTCCAAAGTTCAGTCATAAATTATTATATGAGGCAGACTGGTGCGAGTCGACCAGTCATATTTTTTTTTACAAGAATGTGTATTGTTCTATGAAATATTATAATTTTATTTATAAGACGAGTCATCCGATCGCTGCATAGTAAAACCGTACTTTTATGCTTATAACGTTTCATTTAGTGGCAAATAATTACTATTGCTGATTGCAATTGGAAAAAAGGTAGAGCCGTTTCAAGTCGTTGTATCATTACCGAAAATGAAAAAGGAATGGGAAAGAATTATTGCTTTGTTGTTTTAATGGTGGAATAAAAGACTTTTTCAAAGAAATTTGACCGAGAGAATATTGAAAATTAGCGACTATTAATAAAGGATTATTAATAAATGGCCATTATTACACCTCTCCTTGATAATTAAATCGACAGTTAGTATATTACTATGTCGTTTTTGTTGCAATTATTATTTCTAATTATTTGTAGGCTATTAATCTTCCATATTTGTAGTATAATTTTTTTTAAAAAAAAAAAATACAAATATAATAACCAAAATATAAGATATTGATAAAATAATTAAAGTCTCAAAAGAAAGAGAATAATCATTAGTAATGAGGGTTCAACTAACCCTCAGCCCCCCCAGCCCAGGCTAGCTGTGGTCCTGCCTGGTGAGCCCAGTCTAGCCGTGGCCTTGACTAGCTCGTGCCCCGGGGGACCCGCCGAGCATAAGGTCACCAAGTACATGCTTGGTGACCTTATGCTTAGGGTCACAGGTTCGAATGCTGGGGAGGGCAAAAACCACACTTGAGCAGTGTTGAATGCCAGGAGTCCACTGTGGGACTCATTCGAGTCGGCGGGTCCCCCGGGGCACGAGCCAGTCAGGGCCACGGCTAGACTGGCTCACCAGGCAGGGTCACGGCTAGCCTGGGCTGGAGGCTGAGAGTTAGTTGAACCCTCATCAATTAGTAAATTAATATATTAATATATGACTAAGAAGAATTGACAAAAAAAAAAAAATAAATAAATAAATAGTTAGAACATGAACTGAAAATTATTTTATTTTTAAATAGAACATACATAGATGAAATAGATGAAGAAGTAATTAATGTATGATTGTTGAACTTATTAGTAATTATCAACAATTTTGGTATCAGTTTGGTCCATTATTTGCCACGCGTATTACAGAAAAGGTATGATCACAATTAACATTCTTTTTTATTAAAATGATAATAAATATTTTATTCCATAAAATGTAAACACGCACGTATAAACACACCAACATTTTATTAATACACTCACAAAACATATGCGGTAAAATCCATATATTAACTATTTTTAAAGTATGATACTCCAATGAATGAGTAAAGTAGACATATATTTGCAAAGATACACGTCAACAAAGATTGGCCGAAAAATGATTTTAAGACGAATTTACAACACATAATAAAAATTTAGTATTTAATTGGAAAGATAAAAGTGTAGAATTTTATTTGCAATTACACAAATTGCGAGTATTTTATGTGCAATTAAGTCATTTGAAAAATACACCTATCTTTCGAAAAGTATATTAATGATGTAAGAGGTTCATGAGGAATAGCCGAATAGGTTGCGGTTGTGGATTAGAAATAAAAGGATATTTTTGATTTCATGATGATTAAAGCAAGAACACAAAGGAAGAAGGTTTTCTGTATTAGGGTTCTTCAGATTCAATACATCCGGTTGCTGCATTCTCTATCTTCTATTTATGCATGAGCATGAAACAATCATGACCATCTATCTATGCAAAGCTAAAGTAGATGAAAGACACTTGGCCTAAGGAGATAGGGCTAGCTAGAAAACAGAAAAAGATGGAAAGTTGTACTATAGCTATGAGCTAGATGCATGAGGACTGCATGTGCTCGTCTCTTGTGCATGGCTGAGTTTTTTACCACATTGACTTGATGACATGGTAGAATAAGCAACATCTATTTGTCCATGCACTCTATTATCTCCTCTCAGCTCAAGCAAGGGGCCAGACAAGACAAACAATTTGTTTCTGAACCTTGTGAAGAGCTGTCTAGTGATAGGTTTAGTAAAAAAATCTGCAATTTGATCCAATGCTGGGACATGTCGAACTGAGATTTGTCGAGCAGCAACCTTTTCTCTAATAAGATGGATGTCTATCTCAAAATGTTTAGTTCTTGAGTGAAAAACCGGGTTGCTTGCTAAACTGACAGCTCCCTGATTATCCATCCAAATGTTTGCACACTTTGGAACAGAAACCTTGAGTTCGTGCAATAGTGATTGAAGCCAAACCACATCACAGGTTGTGTGTGCAAGAGATATGTACTCGGCCTCTGTACTAGATCTAGAGACAATGCAGGAGCTCCTGATATGTATACCATTGACAATGCAGCTCCCACCTAAAAACCATTAACTATGTACTTTTTTATTTTTTATTTAAATGTCAAATATCGAAAAATGAAATGATATTAACAGAAATAGACCAAAAAACATTGCATTATTCAATTTAGGACTTTGCATTATCAAACTTTTAATTTGAAATCATTATCAAAATTTTTAGTTTTTAATTTCCATTTATAAATACAACTCTGATCCCTAAAAAATACGACTTTTTGAATATTTTAATGATCAAATGTTGTTGCAAAAATGTAGTGCAATGTAGCGTACAATAGCGTGAAATAACGCCAAAATAGTGTAAGAAAGCGTGTCATTCCATCATTTCGTAAGCTTTTCGGGAAAAACGTTAAATAAATAAGGCTACGTCGCGTTTTTTCGAAAAAAAAGCTATGTGGCGAGTAATAGCGAGCTATATAGCGAGCTATTTAAAACAATGCCAGTTAGTCAGTTACACAATCTTCAGTCCTCTACTCTTCAATCCTCTACTCTACTTGGTGTAGAGTTTACTCTACCTTACAGTAGAGTATGCCAAAATTTAACTTTATTCTTCAGTGTTTGCGCTACATTATTTTTGCAAGAAATATATTAGTATAAAATAAAATTCTAATACAACTATAAAATCATAATATAAATTATTTAGCAAAATAACAATTTTATTGATTTATATTTTGTCAAACAATATTTCAAAATAAAAATCAATTAAAAAAATCAAATTTAAAAAGAAAAAAATGTAGCTTGGTTAGAGCATACACAATGTTTTGGGTTCAATAAAAAAATTGAATGCCACCTCAGAAATAGACTCATTCTAAAAAAAATATGTTCTCCAATGCGAGTGTAAGTGGATTAAGTCTTGCTGATGTGGCATCAAGAAAATGAGACTCGATCTAACATTAAGTTCATTTTAGACTCAAGTAGAGACATAGTCTCCTTGCATTGAAGTAAATTTTGTTAATTTTATATATTTTTGTCTATGTCATTTAAATCTTAGGTTCATTTACATTCCACATAGATAAAATTTAAACCTAAAACATTGCAGATGCTCTTATACCCTTTACATTTCAAGTTTTTTGTAATATTCTAAAGTATTATCGTTAGACGTAAACAAATACTATTACTGCTAACCAACGTTTGAGTTTCCTCTTCTACTCCTCACTCTTCGTCTTCTAAATCGTTTGATTTTCTAGCTGGACTTTGTGTAGTCCTGTACACATCTCAATGCTTTATAGTTCCTTGTAATGGTGGCTTGACTCAATTGTACAACTCAAAACCACCACTGGTCACATGAAAACAAAATAAAAAAATAAAAAAAACTGATAGGGTGGAAGAGTTTTTTGGGATTTTCCTGTAATGGCGGCTTGAGTAGGTTTCCCTTATCGTTTTTCATCAGTCTCTGTGTTTGATTTATGCATTGTTGGGCGGTTGTTTGCCACTGATAAAACTCTGTTCGTTTAATGAAGGCAAAGTGTTTGTGAAAAGGTCTATGTGAACCCAAAAGCAGCATGCCTTCTGTCGACAGACTCAGCGCTTTGCCGGATAACATCATCAGTCACATTCTCTCCTTTCTCCCGATCAAGATCTCCGTGTCGACTAGCATTCTCTCTAGAAGATGGAGATTCATGTGGGCCCACTTCCCGAATCTTGATTTCAACAATTTAAGTCGTGATCATGAGACGAGATTCTGGAACATCATAGACAGGGTTATGTCTAATCCCAGACTGGAGAGCATAAACACTTTTCGCCTCAAGTGCAACTATTCCGATTTAACCGAGAACAAATTCGACGAGTGGTTCGCCGGCCGAAGTATCAACAATCTCATTCTCTGCTCCAGGCACGATTATTTGGGAAATATGTATGTTTTGCCTCGAACCATCTTGACGTGCAAAACCCTTGTTGAGTTGAAATTCACGGCCTGCCCCTTGCCAAATTTTAGTGGTAATGATGATATGTCTTTCCCTCGCCTCAAGAAGATTCATCTCAATGATGTTCACTTTGTAACTGATGAAACTCTTCCCAAATTGCTCTGTCACTGCCCGGTGCTTGAGGATTTGTCCATCGTAAATTGTTGGGTTGTGAATTGCTATATCTCTTCACCCACAATAGAAAGACTTTTGGTCTCAATTGTGTTTACAGCTAGTGGCAACCGTGAGTTGAGGATAAATGCTCCTGCACTTGAGTATCTACAGCTATTTATTTGCGCAACCTCGTGTGTCTCAGCTTGTGCACTGCCTTCCTTAATTGAGGCAAACATTGAATTTTTGGATCCTTTTTCTTACGAAGACGAGCTCTTTCGTCTTTCAGTGTTGGGTTTTGTCGATCGCCTCTGCAAAGTGAAGAGGCTAAAACTGTCGATTAATGTGCCGGTAACTTAGTCACCTGTGTATTTTGTTCTCATACTCCGCATTTATACTAATAACTCATGCTGGTTGTTTTCAGTTGCCTTATGGGATAAGATCAATCCCAAGGTTTGATAATTGTACTCGGCTTGAGTTGGATGTCAATTCGCATTTGTTCGTAAAATTATTGGAGGCGGCTAACAATCTTGAAGTTCTAGTCATCTTTAGGGTTAGTTAAGCTAAAAAAAATGTAACCTTTAGCTTCTGCTTTTCTTTTTTTTTTTTTTTT